CTGGATCTATGATTCTGGATTCTGGAATCTGTAATCCGGAATTGTTTTCAAGATCGGATGCTTTGGCTACATTATACACCTACCCTTCAAGGCATGATTTCGGTATTCCTTCATGGCCCCTTTTATTATTATACTAGAAGAACCCCCAACACCCTGTTCTAATTGCCCTACATTAGGCAATAGGCAACAAAGCTCGGCAGGAGTCGACATCCGCCACCAACGGCATTGTGGATGAGAAGATTCTCGTGCTAGAGGTTTGCCAGGGTTGAGGGTGTCGGGTTTATACGGACTTAGGGAAGTGTAGGGTTCGGGCCTGTGCGTTTTTCCTGCAATGCGCTCTTCTGAGGATGTCTGTGATGACTTTGGCACAAGTTGTGCATTGGGAGTCGGGGTTCTCTACCTTCGGCATCTCCAGAGTCTTGACGGATCCAGGGTTTAGGGTTTAGGGTTTAGGGTTTAGGGTTAGGGTTTAGGGTTTAGGGTTTAGGGTTTAGCAAAATCCTACCACATCTTCGCCACATGGCCGCAAGGCCAAGTGGACGGTGTTGGCCTGTTAAAGTGGTCCCGTATGTATTGAAGGGCTCCCCAACAAAGGCATCATCTTTTGGATGACCTAAACCCTAGCCACTAACCCTAAACCCGTACTGTACAGTACAGAGTCATTCCAACTAAAGTTGCTCGTGCGAGCGCAGGGGGGAATGGGGAGAGTGGTAGGGTTTAGGGTTCAGGGTTCAGAGTTTAGGGTTTAGGGTTTTGGGATGTTGCGGTTGACAGAACTATCCGGCCCATCCTTTTGTGGACACCTCACGAATCGACAAGCTTGAGGCAGCGCTGTATGCAACAGCAAAAAAGGGCACCAAACTGGCTCACCAAATCTGTGAGAAGGCAACACACTCTACCCCCCTCCAAACAGAGAAACACGAGCAAACACGCAATGTGAGAGCCAATATTCGTATTTGTATCTGCACTGCACTCAGGGTATAGATACACACGCCACTGGCTTCTGCAGATACTAGTCGTTGCCCCAAAACATTACCCTAAGGGTCCATGTATCTAAACATGGAATACTTGGGCCTTAAAGTACCTCCTAATAGAGACTTTAGGGCCCAAGTACATAGTAGTAAGGTACATGGACCCGTAGGGTTAGACATCAGCTCAGTGCCACACAACAAGCCCTAAGCAAAACAAAACCCTAAGTCTCCGAGGCATAGGGCCACGGTTTTAGGGTTTAAGGTTTAGGGTTTAGGGTTTAGGGTTTAGGCACGCTTGACCCCCATGAACATGCCCAACAGCCTGCACTGAAACCCGAAGGTACGCCGACCCGAGGCACGCGCTTTCGGGACTGGGGTTTCGAAATAAACTATGAGAGGATGCTGGTATGAGTTTAGGAATCTTCCGCAATCAAGGGGGTGCATATGGAGTCTCTGCCGGGCTGTTGCTGACAGGGCGTAAAAAAAGGGCTCCGCGGCCCGAGGTCTTGCGGAGTTTAGGGTTTAGGGTTTAGGGTTTAGGGTTTAGGGTTTAGGGTTTTGGATTTATAAGGCTAGGCGTCCATATCGCCAGCTTTGCATAGCCGATGTAGGCCTGCAAAGGCCCAAGGAGAAGAGGGGGCTTGGCCATCTTCCCCTTGGGAAAATCAAAAGGACATCTACCCCCTAAGGGGCATCCGGAGCCCTAAGCCCTAAACCCTAAAACCCTACACCCTAAACCCTAAAACCCTAAAGCCCCAAAGCCCTTAATCCCTAAACCCTAAAGCCCTAAAACCCTGAAACCCCAAACCCTAAAACCCTAAAACCCTAAGCCCTAACCCCTAAACCCCTCAAGCCCTAAAACATTAAAACCCTGAAACCCCAACACCCTAAAACCCTAAGCCCTAAAACCTTAAAGCCCTAAACCCTAAACCCATAAACCCTAAAACCCCTAAAGCCCTAAAACCCTAAGCCTAAGCTCTAAGCCCCAAAAGTCGACGCCTAAGCAGGTTCCAAGCATCGACCTCGTGGACTTGCCCGGTACGGTCGCCTACCCGGAGGAAAAGGCACCAGGGCTCAGTGATCCAGGGTTTAGGGTTTAGGGTTTAGGGTTTAGGGTTTAGGGTTTAGGGTTTAGGGTTTAGGGTTTAGGGTTTAGGGGGCTCAGTGACGCTTCCCAGAATAGAGTCATGAACACCTCCTGTAGCCCGTGCTGCATAGGCGGGGGAGCCAGGGGGGGGGGGGGTTTAGCCGCTGAATCCCCAAACCCCCTCAACCCCCTCAACCCCCTAAACCCCCTAAACCCGAAACCCCTTAAACTCCCGAAGCCTCCTAAACCCTCTAAACCCTCTAAACCCCCCAAACCCCCCAAACCCCCAAACCCCCCAAACCCCCTAAACCCCCTAAACCCCCTAAACCCGAAGCCCCTTAAACCTCCTAAGCCTCCTAAACCCTCTAAACCCCCTAAGCCCCCTAAGCCCCCTAAACCCCCTAAACCCCCTAAGCCCCCTAAGCCCCCTAAACCCCCTAAACCCCAAAGCCCCAAACTCCCTAAACCCCCTCCCAAAAAACCCGAAGCCCCCTAAAGCCCCCTAAACCCCCTAAACCCACTAAACCCACTAAACCCGCTAAGCCCCAAACCCGAAACCCTCTAAGCCCCCAAACCCTAAGGCAGCGGCCATTCAGCGCATTCTGGACGACCACTTTCAGGGAGGGCAGCACAACATGCGCCTCGCCGTGGCGGGCTTGTAGTGTTTTTGCTTTTTTAACATTCTACTAGTAGTTATGAATAGATAAATAAATAGAAATATACATATATATATATATGTATATGCATACATACAATATGTATATGTGATATGTGCCTATAAATAGATAAATCGATACATAAAGTAATAAAACAATAAAACAATAAAACAAACTAATTAAACCCTAAACCCTAAACCCTAAACCCCTCAAGCCCTAAAACCTTAAAACCCTGAAACCCCAACACCCTAAAACCCTAAAACCCTAAGCCCTAAAGCCCTAAAACCTTAAAGCCCTAAGCCCTAAGCCCAAGCGACCACGAGCATCGCAGTCCAGGCCGATGCTGGTGGTGGAGGCCTCAAAGCGGCCCACCCTCAGCCCGGCAACGCGCTACATCATGACGAAGCAGCTCCAGGTTAGGGGTTTTGGGATTACGATTTAGGGTTTACTAGGGTTTAGGGTTTAGGGACATCATGACGGGTTTAGGGACATCATGACAAAGAAGCTCCAGGTTAGGGGGTTTGGGGTTTTGGGTTCAGGGTTTCGGGTTTAGGGTGAGAGTTTAGGGTAGAGGTTTATGGGCTTAGGGCTTAGGCGGTGGGGAGTTAGGACTTTTGGAGGCTCCGTAGAGCTAAGATATGCAGGGCTCAGGGCTGGTTTTGAGTTTTAGCCTCTAGGATTCAAGATTTAGTGGGCTTATAGCGTGCAAGGCTCAGGGCCCAGGTGCTTCTAGGCTGGGGTTTTGGGTTTAGGGTGTAGGGTGTAGGGTGTACGGTTTACGGTTTCGGTTTCGGTTTCAGGGTACAGGGTTCAGGGTCCAGGGTTTCGGGTTTAGGGTGACTTGGTCTGTTGCTAGGGTTTCCGAACCCGAAAGGGGAATAAACCCCAAACTCCTTAGGGTTGAGTCCCGACTTTGGCCGCAGGACGTGACGGTGGGCGTCTTCTCCAAGTGCGACCTGAGCCACTTCGTAGCTGAGTGAGCACACGTGTACACTTTTTTGGAAAACTCTAACCCCCTAGAGAACTGCAAATGTACACTTGTTCTAAACCCTAAACCCCTAAACCCCTAACCCCCTAAACCCTAAGCCCTAAGCCCTCCTAAACCCTAAACCCAGCAACTAAGGCCACGACCACGACGCGCTGCGAGCGCTGATCCTGCACGAGCCCTCAGAACCTCGTGGCTCAGAACCTGGCGAGTCGCCAGAGGACTGCGAGCATGCATGACTGTCCTATACAGCACATGAACTGCATCTGACCAAAGTAGCAGCTTTAGGGTTGAGGGTTTAGGTTTTAGGGTTCACTACGCAACCCACACCATCAACGACTATCCAGAGTAGGCAGCTTGCTTGTGCTGCTGAGATGCCTGACCCCCTAGACAAGTCTGGCGAAACACCACCTTTACCCTCTGGATCGTAGTAGGGAATGAAAGGAATTAGGTATCCTCTTTCCCCTGTATATATTCACATTATATTTATACTTATTCTTATACTTATGCTTATACTTATATGTATACAATATATATATATATATATATATATATATTCTTATTTATTTATTTGTTTCTGTATCTATTTATTTAGGTTCATGTTTATATGTATATTTACATTTATGTTTATATTTTTAATTTCTCTTGATATTCATATTCATGTTTCTATTTATATATTTATTTATTTGTTTATACCATGTATACGTACCTTTCAAGCGTATATGGGGCACACTCAATCCCTACAAAGAACCACCCGCAAAGAACCACCCGGCAGCCCCATATTCCTCACAAAAACCCAGCTCGGGCCCCCCAAGAGTCCTGCCATTCTGAAAGGCAACCCTAAACCTCAAGCCCCAAGCCCCAAACCCCAAATCTGAAACACAAAACCCTAAACCCTAAACCCCAAACCCCAAACCCCAAACCCCAAACCCTAAACCCGAAACCCGAAACCCTAAACCCGAACCCCAAACCCTAAGCCCTAAACACCAAACATCGAAATCCCTATGCAGCCTTGAGGACCTGGGTGGGGTTCGCCTGAAATGCTGGGTCGCCAGCATGCAGGGACCTGAGAAGCTGGGACAGGACCCTGCAGCTCCCACCAGGGGTTTAGGGTTGAGGGGGTTTAGGGGTTTGGGGTTTAGGGTGTATGGGGTTTAGGGTTTAGGGTGTATGGGGTTTAGGGTTGAGGGGTTTAGGGGTTTAGGGGTTTAGGGGGTTAAGGGGGTTGAGGGTTTAGGGTTTTTAGGGCGTAAGGGTTTAGGGACCTAAGCCCTAAACCCTCATCTTCGGGGTTTAGGGTTCAGGGAAACCTTCTTCCGCTTGAGCTAAACCCCCTTTAGGCCTGGTGTTTGGGGAAGAGCGTCTTAAGCCCCCAGAGGAACGAGTCCCTCTATGTTCAGGGCTTAGGGAAGCTCTTTCAACAACTTACTCTAAGCCCTAAAGACGGGAAAAGACCTTACAAGAAGATCGCTTTGGGTTCAGGAAGGCTTTCTGAACCCCTGAACAAGCTCACCCCTCAGGGGTTTGGGCCCTAAACCCAACACCCCAAACCCTAAACCCTAAACCCTAAACCCTGAACCCTAAACCCTAAACCCTAAACTAACCCTAAACCCTAAACTGTGAGGGGCTCCAAGAGCTCATCCCCTGCGCCGGCATCTCATTGCCACCAGCACTGTTTACATCACCCTGCGCCGACGCCTTGCGCAAGGGCTGGTGGAAAAAGGGTTTAGGGTTTAGGGTTTAGGGTGCTGGCACTCTTGCTTTCCAAAGCTTCGACAATGCACTCTTACATTCGCAGGCCAACATGTTTTCAGTTTTCTCCACATCTAGCAGCCTTCAAGTACCCAAGAACTGCTGGTCAAAAGCAAAATAAGTCACTCTACGTGCAGAAGCCTATTAACCCTCTACACTCTATAAGCCCTGTACCCGTGCTCATTTCCCAGGAGCCGCCCGAGGAGTACAAGACCCACAACTTCGAGCGTGTGTGGAGGCAGCAGAAGATCGCGCTCCTTCTGCAATGCCCGAAAGGGGGGGACGGGGGGGGTGGTTTAGGGTTTAGAGGTGGGGGGGGGGGGGGGGGGGGGGGGGTTCAGGGTTGTTAGCCGAAAAATGTGGATCATGATTGAGGACAAACCCTAAACCCTAAACCCTAAACCCTGAACTCAAGAGGGGCCTGGGAGTCTCTGAGGCTCATCAGGGTCCTACAAAAGGTCGACTGGGAGGTCCATGGTTCTTCGTAACCCAAATAAAACTGTACTTATCACCCACTTGTAAGCCCCTTAAGTGCCCTAATATGGTTGTAAGTACAGTTATAAGTGCAGTAATAATTGATTAATCGGTACCATGAACCTGCAAGTAGAGTTTCAGCACTTCGGGTTTAGGGGCTTAAGTTTGACACAGGGGTCGCAGAGCAAAGGTTTAGAGACCTTAAGCTGTAGGGCCAGCAACGTTCAAGAACCTTGGGGGCGCTTTGGATTTTAGGGTTTTATAAGGTTTAGGGCTTCCCCAGCTGGCCAACTAACGGGGTCCCTAGGAACTACAGTAGGGAATTATCTACCTCATAGCCCCCTCCTGTCCCTTGAAAATGTTATCTTGGGCAACTAAGTCCCCAATTCCGTATTCCATATTCAGCCCAAGACCGCCGAAGCAAAGGAAAGTGCGCACTTTGCAAACATCCCCGAGCTGCAGGACCTACAGGAGCGCAATGGCGGCTCATGGGATTTCTAGGGCTTTTTCGGGTCCCCAAACCCTAAGCCCTAAAATCCTAAACCCTAAACCCTAGGTTTTCTGGGGCTGATGGGGCTTTGGGAGTTTCAGGCCTTGCTCCAAGTCTCTGAGAACTAAACCCTAAACCCTAAACCCTAAACCCTAAACCCTAAACCCTTCAGATAGGTGTTTGGACCCAAGGACCAGACTATGCAGCAAGAAGGGGAAAAAGGAGGAACCCAGAAGGGACCCGTAATCTTATTCCCCTTTATAACCCCTATAGTATAAGTATATATATGTACATTATATAGCCCCTATATACCTAAGTAGCCCCTAAAATACCCCTTGAATGCAAAGTTTCGAATGCTTTTGGAGCCTCAGGGTGTAGAAGCTCAAGCCTCGGAAACCCATCTTACGGTTTAGGGTTTAGGGTTTAGGGTTTAGGGTTTAGGGTTTAGGGCTTGCAAGACTGAGTGAAAATGGGATGAGAGTCACCAGAGAGGAGTCTCGGGGGAACCCTTTCTGTTTGTCCAGGCGATTTAGGCGTAATGGTTGCGCTGCGGCTTTTCTGAAGCCCGTTTTCCCTAAACCCTAAACCCTAGTTCCTAACCTCTAGAAACCTTATACGCTAGCTGGGGGTCTCTGATGGGTTGCAGGTTTAGGAGGCTTAGGGCGCCTATTTTTGGCACGCCGAAAGAAGCATCTGGGGCGTGCTCCTGCAGCTGTGGGCGGTTTCGGGTTTAGGGTTCGGGGTTTAGGGTTTCGGGTTTAGGGTTTAGGGTCTCTAGGAAGGTCTAAGCTTTGGAGTTTAGTAGGGTGTAGGTAACGTTGCACTCCCTGCACAGAGGCGCGCCGAAATTTCTCCAGGCAGCACTGCCCGGAACCATGAACCCTAGTTGTCACATCATCTACGAATTGCTTAAGAACCCCGAAAAACAAAGAGTATTCTTGGGGTTCTTTAGCAAATAGTAGTCGGCTGTAACGCAGCAGGAGCGGGGCCATGCAGGAATCGGATGCCTCGTCGAGCAGCTGGACAAGGACACGGTGCACTTTTCAATCTTGTGCTTGTTTTATTTGGAATGTTGGGTTTTGAAGAGATGTTTAGAGGAGTGAGGATTTGGAGTTTGAGGTTTGGGGTTGAGGGTTTAAGTCTTAGGGTTTGGGGTTCAGGGTTCGCCAAGCAGCATCAGCATCAGTAATTGTGGGAGAAATGAAACAAATTCCAGAGGAGGCTACACAGGAGCATGTTCAGACAGCTTTCCATGTGACAGTGCTGGGGGAATCCCATATCCTTCAGTAAAAATTGTGCCGATCGAGAGTGTAAGGTGTAAGCCATATGCTCTACCTCAGGGCTCAGGGGCATTGAATCATTGAGTTTAGGGCTTGGGGTTTAGGGTTTAGGGTTTAGGGTTTAGGGTTTAGGGTTTAGGGTTTAGGGTTTAGGGCGCTTTGCGCCTCAGGAGTATCTCAACCACCTGCATCGCTCCTGGAAGTGGGACGCCTTCTACAAGCTGCAGACCAAGTTGGACCGACTCCAGTTCGACCTGAGTATGCTGCCTGGATGCTGAGTATGGTTTAGGGTTTAGGGTTTAGGGTTTAGGGTTTAGGGTTTAGGGTTTAGGGTTTAGGGTTTAGGGTTTAGGGTTTAGGGCTGGAGGTTCCCCGTTGTACTAACAGTCCTTGATAGGGATTATGGTACCCTCTATTATAATCCCTATTAAGGACTGTTCGTGTAAGGGGGAAACATCCCACAGTATGGATGTCGCTGAATACAGCTCGTATGTAAAGTCATACTGAGCTCCGCGGAGCTCATCCATCGCTGCAGTTGAACATTGAGAAGTTAGAGCCCTCAAAAGAGCGCCCGGACCCCAAAACCTCAAGCCCGAGTACGCCCAAAGCCCAAGCCCAAAACGCCAGAATTCCGAATCAAAGAGAGCTACTTCAACTCCAACCAAAATACCAACAATATATCCTCCAAGTTTAAAATCCAACAGCACAGGTTGGGTGTGGTACCAGAAGCCCAGAAGGAGCAATTGGCAAGTGCCGAGGTGAAAAGGCGCGGTTGAAAAGGGGGTTTGTGTTTAGGATTTGGAGCCTTAAACCCGAAAACCCCAAATCCCAAACCCTATACCCTAAGCCCTAAACCCTAAACCCTAGACCCTAGACCCTAGGCCGTTTAAGGTTTATGGGGCCTCGGAAGCCGCATGGCTCTAGGCGTTTGGGGCTTCGGGGTTACCCCCACCCTGAGCGCGTGTTCGGGCTTACAATGGTAAACAATAAACCGTAAACGCCTAAACCCTAAGCCTAAACCCTAAACCCTAAACCCTTAAACCCTAAACCCCTAAAGCCCTTACAACCTTTAAGCCCTTCGTGAAGGCGCCTGGGCAGCAGCTCGCCCTTTACCAGGGCTCCTGGGCCTTCTGTTTCGTCCTTTTGCGAGCTAGGTTTAGGGTTTAGGGTTTATAGAAATAGTATAGGGTTTGGGCCCCAAAAAGTTTTGAGCGAAAGTTTTTGTTTTAGATATTAGGTTTTAGTTTTCGGGGTCGGCGTGGGGGCGGGGGACACGGGGGTGGGTGGTTCGGGGGACCCGATTTCGTAATTTGGTACTCCGAGGAAGCCCGGCTTCGTAATTTAGTATTCGGGGGAGGCCCGGCTTCGTAATTTAATATTCGGGGGAAGCCCGGCTTCGTAATTTAGCATTCGGGGGAAGGCCCGGCTTCGTAATCTAGTATTCGGGGAAGGCCCGGTAATTCAGTATTCCGCGGAGGCCCGGCTTCGTAATTTAATATTGGGGGGAAGCCCGGCTTCGTAATTTAGTATTCGGGTGAAGCCCGGCTTCGTAATTTAATATTGGGGGGAAGAGAGGGGGCGGAATTAGGGGGGGGGGGGGTGGGAGGGCGGGGGAGGGGGTTTGGGACGGGGGGAGTGGGAGGGGAGGAAGAGGAGGAGGAAGGGGAGGAGGAAGGGGAGAAGGAAGGGGAGGAGGAAGGGGAGGAGGAAGGGGAGGAGGAAGGGGAGGAGGAAGGGGAGGAGGAAGGGGAGGAGGAAGGGGGGGGGAGGGGGGAGGGGGGAGGGTGGGGAGGGCGCGGGAGGGGGGCTAGGAGGGCGAGGTTTGAATAAATTGAGCATTTGGCCTCAGACTTAAACTCAGCTTGTCAGCTGTTTAGACAAATAACTTGAAAACTCAGAATGATACCACATACAATTTCTATTTATTTTGTCTTGAGGGTTTAGGGTTTAGAAGCTTAGGGTTTAGAAGCTTAGGGCTCAGAAGCTTAGGATGTAGAAGTTCAGGATTTAGAAGTTTAGGGTTTTTTAGGGGTTTTAGGGGTTTTAGGGTTTTTAGGGGTTTAACAACAGGGTCTACTAAGCTCCTTAGCCGGGCGCAAGTGGTGGTGACGAGCTTTGGGAAGCTTTAGGACTGGAAGATTTCGGGCTTGAGCACGGTTTACGGTTTAGGGTTTAGGGTTTAGGGTCTAGGGTCTAGGGTTTAGGGTTTAGGGTTTAGGGTTTGAGCCTTGTTAAAAGCATGCTTGGTCGGTCAAAGCACGTGTTCCCAAATGGCCGCTTTCCTAAGCTCCAGACGCTTGCCAAACCCTTCGCCCCAGTGATTGTGCAGATGTGATGAGGCGGGAGGCGAGCATCATGATCATCAGCTGGTTGAGTTTTCGGTCAAAGCCACCCCCCCCCCCCCCCCCCCCCCCTAAGCTCTCGCCCCAAGGATTGTGCAGATGTGACGAGGCGGGAGGCGAGCATCATGATCATCAGCTGGGTGATCTTTCCGGTCAAGCGGCCCCCTTAAGCCGCTTGCCAAACCCTTCGCCCCAGTCATTGTGCAGATGGGACGAGGCGGAAGGCGAGCATCATGAGCATCAGCTGGGTGATGTTTCCTGTCAAGCGGCCCGGTAAGCTCCAGACGCTTGCCAAACCCTTCGCCCCAGTGATTGTGCAGATGTGACGAGGCGGGAGTTTCCGGTCAAGCGGCCCCCTTAAGCTCCAGACGCTTGCCAAACCCTTCGCCCCAGTGATTGTGCAGATGCGACGAGGCAGGATGCGAGCATCGTGAGCATCAGATGGGTGATTTTTCCGGTCAAGCGGCCCCCTAAGCTCCAGGCGCTTGCCAAACCCTTCGCCCCAGTGATTGTGCAGATGTGACGAGGCAGGGGGCGAGCATCATGAGCATCAGCTGGGTGATTTTTCCGGTCAAGCGGCCCCCTAAGCTCCAGACGTCTGCCAAACCCTTCGCCCCAGTGATTGTGCAGACGTGACGAGGCGGCTGGCGGGCATCATGAGCATCAGCTGGGTGATTTTTCCAGTCAAGCGGCCCCCCAAGCTCCAGACGCTTGCGTCCCAGTGATTGTGCAGACGTGACGAGGCGGCAGGCGAGCATCATGAGCATCAGCTGGGTGATTTTCCCAGTCAAGCGGCCCCCTAAGCTCCAGACGCTTGCCAAACTCTTCGCCCCAGTGATTGTGCAGATGTGACAAGGCGGGAGGCGAGCATCATGAGCATCAGCTGGGTGATTTTTCCGGTCAAGCGGCCCCCTAAGCTCCAGACGCTTGCCAAACCCTTCGCCCCAGTGATTGTACAGATGTGACGAGGGGGGAGGCGAGCATCATGAGCATCAGCTGGGTGATTTTTCCGGTCAAGCGGCCCCCTAAGCTCCAGACGCTTGCCAAACCCCTTCGCCCCAGTCATTGTGCAGATGTGACGAGGCGGGAGGCGAGCATCATGAGCATCAGCTGCGCTTGCCAAACCCCTTCGCCCCAGTGGTTGTGCAGATGTGACGAGGCGGGAGGGGGAGGCGAGCATCATGAGCATGGGCTGGGTGATTTTCCGGTCAAGTGATTTGGCAGATGTGACGAGGCGGGAGGCGAGCATCATGAGCATCAGCTGGGTGATTTTTCCGGTCAAGCGGCCCCCTAAGCTCCAGACGCTTGCCAAATCCTTCGCCCCAGTGATTGTGCAGATGTAAACCCTAAACCCCAAACCCTAACCCAATCCCTAAACCCTAAAACCCAACCCTACACCACAACAAGGCCCAGTCTCCGCCTGAGGCTTTGTACCAGTCCTTTGTCACGGACGTGCTTCAAGGCGTGCTCTATCAGAGGACGCGGTCGGTGGGCTGGGAGGAGGGTTCGCGGCTACAGGGGGGCTTTTAGGGCTTAATTCTAAGTTGACGGCACCTCCAAACCCAAACCCCAGAACCGAAACTCCGACCTCCATGTTTCTCGACTGTTTTTGTGGGGACTGGCACTTGGATTTAGGGGCTGGGGCTTAGAATTCTAGGGTTTAGGGTTTTAGGGTTTAGGGTTTTTGGGTTTAGGGTTTAGGGTTTAGGGTTTAGGGTTTAGGGTTTGGGGATAGTTTATGTCTTCCCCTGCTGGGTTTCAGAGGATCCATTTTCAGGACTTAGGGTTTAGGGTTTAGGGTTTAGGCTTTTGAAGGGCCATCCGAGTATGCTTCTCCACTTTCCCGTGGCTGAAAAAAAGCAACATGGCAAGGTTGGTCCTTGTTTTTTTGGAAGGGTGTTGCAAAAGCAGGTGGGTTAGAATCGAAGAAGTGTTAGCAAACCCTCAGCCCTAAACCCCTCAACAAGGTTTAGGGTTTAGGGTTTAGGGTTTAGGGTTTAGGGTTTAGGGTTTAGGGTTTAGGGTTTAGGGTTTAGGGTTTAGGGTTTAGGGTTTAGGGTTTAGGGTTTAGCCCTGGGGATAGTTTATGTCTTCCCGTGCTGGGTTTCAGAGGATCCATTTTCAGGACTTAGGGTTTAGGGTTTAGGGTTTTAAAGGGCCATCCGAGTATGCTTCTCCACTTTCCCGTGGCTGAAAAAAAGCAACATGGCAAGGTTGGTCCTTGTTTTTTTGGAAGGGTGTTGCAAAAGCAGGTGGGTTAGAATCGAAGAAGTGTTAGCAAACCCTCAGCCCTAAACCCCTCAACAAGGTTTAGGGTTTAGGGTTTAGCGTTTAGGATTTAGGGTTTTGCCCCTTAACCCCTAACCCCCATTTCCCCTCTTGCCTGCAAGCTAAAGGATCCTCTTGAATCCCTCTTTGAGACCCCCAGACACTGGGCTCTTGCTACGGATCATGAGCTTAGGCACCGCCATTGCGGTAACAAGCACCCAGCTTCGCTGCCCCAAACCCAGTCTAAACCCCAAGCCCTAAACCCCAAACCCCAAACCCCAAACCCTAAACCCTAAACCCCAAACCCTAAACCCTAAACCCTAAACCCTAAACCCTAAACCCTAAACCCTAAACCCTAAACCCTAAACCCCAAGCCCTAAACCCCAAACCCCAAGCCCTAAGCGCTTTAGCCCCAAGCCCTAAGCGAACAGTCTGGGGAACGGGAGGACCTCCCAAGCTTTGCTCCAGTTTCAAGGCCAAGGCCCGGGTGCTTTCGGGACCTTTGGAGGGTTCAGAGGGTTGAGGGTTTGTGGCTCAAGGGTTTAGGATTTAGGGTGCAGGATTTAGGGTTCAGAGTTGAGGGTTTCGGTTTAGGGCTGAGGGTTGAGGGTTTATGGGGTGTTTGGGCGGGTTTAGGGGTCCTAGGGCCCGAGTCTTTAGGATTGAGGAGGCTTTTGGGTGGGAGTCCTGAGGGCCTGAACGCTTCGATGGGAAGTCTTGAGGCGGCAATGAGATTGAGGACTTGAGAGGCCCCCCGAGGGATGGTGTAGCTTGGTTTTGGTTTAGGGTTTAGGGTTTAGGGTTTTAGGGTTTTAGGCTTGTAGGCTTGTAGGCTTGTAGGCTTGTAGGGTTTGGGGTTCAGGGTTTAGGGTTGTAGGGTTCATGTAGAGGCCACAAGTATATAGAACCTGGAGCCAACAACGAGCCTGAAACCTAAATCCTAATTCCTAAACCTTAAAACCCTAAGTCTCTGAGCGCGAGGCTACATGTGCGAGGGCTGCAAGCAGCAGAGCGCCATCGATCGGGCGTGTGCGGACGTCCGGACCGTCATGGACGAGGCGAAGCCGCGGCTTCCAACTGCTCATGGTTTTTTTTTTTTTTTGTGCCCGGGGGGGGGGGGGGGGGGGGGGGGTAGGGTTAGGGTTTGGGGGTTTTGGGTTTGGGGTTTGGGGTTGGGTTTGGGGTTTGGGGTTTGGGTTTGGGGTTTGGGGTTTGGGGTTTGGGGTTTGGGGTTTGGGGTTTGGGGTTTGGGGTTTGGGGTTTGGGGTTTGGCGTGTGGGGTGTGGGGTGTGGGGTGTGGGGTGTGGGGTTTAGGGATGGTTTAGGGTTTAGGGTTTAGGGTTCAAGGTTCAGGGTTGAGGAGGGCTCCAAGATGCTCGGCACTTGGGGTCGGGGTGGACCCTTCTTGGCAGGCTGCACGCGAATCCATGAGGAATATGAACCCTGAACCCTAAACCCTAAACTTGCTGCGGTAGCCAAAAAAGGAGGCCTGTCGAGAGTGCGACAGCGCTACTGTGGCAAGAAGCTGTCAGCGGAAGAGGAAACTCATCGGTTTAGGGAGCCCTGAGCATCGTTGCTGTTGCAATCCCAGACCCCTGGGAGGATCCAAAAAGTAGATCCCCTTAAGCGTTCCCAAGAATGACCCAAAAGCAGAAAGGGGCACCATTTGGGAGCTCTACTTGCTGGATCCTTCCAGGGTCTGGGGTACAGAGCTGACCCACTTCTTTCCCGACAGGTGCTGCAGGGGGTCCGCGCTCGTCTGGTGGAGCCTGTGTGGGAGATCCTCCAAGCAGAAAGCAAGGCTCCTCCTTCGGTTCAGGTTGGGATGTTCCCCTGAGGGTTTAGCGCTTAGGGTTTAGGATCCTATCCTATCAGTCCTTAAGAAGGAATATAGATACCCTCTATTATAGTCCTTCATAGGGACGATAATAGGGGGGTACTAGAATCCCTATTAAGGACGGTTAGTATAAGGCTGAACATCAGGTTGAAGCTTTCGGGTTGCAGAGCTTAGGGCTGCAGAGTTTAGGGTTTGGGGTTTAGGGCTTAGGGCTAAGGGTTGCAGAAGACAGCTTCTCTGTCAGACAGGCTCCCCGGGGGGTTTAGAGTGTGGAGCTTTGAGCCAGGGATGTCTGAGCCGCAAAGCCCAAGTCCTCAGCACCAAAGCCGGCAAGCCGCATGAATTGCTGGGGTCCCAACTTGACTCAGGGGCGCAGTAGGGTTTTGGGGGTTTAGGGAGTTTTCGGGGTTTCAGGATTTTGTAGGGCTGTTAGAGGTTGAGGGCTTTTAGGGTTTTAGGGGTTTTGGGCTTTTAGGCTAGTTAGCGCTTATCGGTTCTGACCTGCCCTAGGAGCTGGCAGGAGAGGAGTGCGTCAACATCGCTGCCTGGCGTGCGCTTTTTTAAGGTTGGGGGCGTGGCTTGGGTTTTGGGGCTTTGGGTTTACGTAGGTTTTGTAGTGGTGAGAGGTTCGGGCGGGGTGCTGGCTTAAGATTTAAAAGGTTTTGTCAGGAAACCCTAAACATCCCTCTGCCCTAAAAGCCCAAACCGCCTTCTGGCGCCCTTGGCGTGTGTTAGGACGGGAGCCCACTTGAGCCCTGAGTAAGACACGAGCCCTAAACCCTAGACCCTAAACCCTAAACCCTAAACCCTAAACCCTAAGCCTAAACCCTAGAGCCCGCAGACCGCTACTCTCAGACCCCAAGCGCCCAACTGAACCCACTCTCAACCCTCAGCCCCTGCCCCGGTGTTTCCAAACGCACCGTTTAGGGGCCCTAAACCCTAAAGACCCTAAACACCCTCAAAACCTGAAAGCCCCTTAATCCCCAAACCCTGAAAGCCCTGAAAAGCTATTTCGCGCGCCGAACCCTAAACTCTAAACCTTCTCTTTCATATGTACATAATCTTCAGTGGCCCAATCGTCAGACAAGTTTGCCTAAGTCGTCGTCGGCCAGTACGAATTTGGTGAAGTCGTTGTTGGCCACTGAAAATCCCCTCTACCCCGCACCCCTGAATTGAGGGTTCAGGGTTTAGGGTTTAGGGTTCAAGGTTCAGGGTTTAGGGATAGGGTTTAGGGTTTACGGTTTAGGGTTTAGGGTTTAGGGTTTAGGGCTTAGGGCTTAGGGCTTAGGGCTTAGGGCTTAGGGCTTAGGGCTTAGGGTTTAGGGTTTAGGGTTTAGGTGGTTCAAGCCCCGGGGATTGTAGGGTTCCCGGATGAAGGTTTGAGGGTTCAAGCCCTTAAAACCAACATAGTTTCCCAATAATGTTATGGGAACCATTAACCGTGAACCCTGAACCTTGAACCCTAAACCCTAAACCCTTAGCCCTAAACCCTAAAGCCTAAACCCTAAACCCTAAACCCTAAACCCTGCTCAGGTCACCGGGGGGCCCGCGAGCCTGGCCCTTGAGCCCTTGAAATCCTTCCCGGAGGCCATGTGGTGGAAGAGCGGCGAGGCGGAAGTAGAGGCTTTGTTTGGTTTAGGGTTTAGGGTTTAGGGTTTCGGGTTTAGGGTTTAGGGTTTAGGGTTTAGGGTTTAGGGTTTAGGGCTTCGTGCCTTTCTGGCTTCCAGGGCTTATTGGGGTTCACGGGGTACGGGGTGGCGCTGTAGGAGCGAGGCTTGGTGGCCCAGCGGTACACGTGTGCCCCTTTTTCATGGTTTAAGGTTCCCATATAAGTATAAAGTATCCCTAAACCCTAAACCCCTAAACCCTAAACCCCTAAACCCTAAACCCCTGAACCCTAAACCCTAAACCTCTAAACCCTAAACCCCCAAGAGGGTAGTTACTGCTGGTTTAGGGTTTTAGGGTTTGGGGCTTAGGGTTTAGGAGGGCGGTGCACTCAGGCTTGCAGCAGACGCTGAGAGACCAGCCCATCATCCAGCTCAGCAGCTACGCCATGTACACCGAGGCCATCATGGAGCGGTGCGTGCCGTGGCCGGAAGCTTCGAACCTAGGTGCACTTGCAACCCTAAACCCTAAACCCTAACACCTGAACCCTAATTCCTAACTCCTGAACCCTAAGCCCTAAACCCGAAATCTTGTCTCCTATGTTCTGGAACCCAACACCTGAACTTCAAGCCTTCGTTGACACTTCAAACGGCGGGATAGGAGTTCGAGTCTCGAGGAATCATTAGGCCTCCCTGTTCATGTCTTTTACGCTTTGGACGACCGACCGCAGAGCGGAAGATCGGCCCTATGCCCCTAGGCCCCCCTAAACCTTAAACCCTAAACCCTAAGCCCTAAACCCTAAACATCCCTAAACCCTAAACCCCTAAACCCTAAGCCCTAAACCCTAAACCGATGCTCGAGTCTCAGGAGAAGCTGTACGCAGATGCTGTACAGCGGCTGCGGGCGAAGAGCGAGGAGCTCTTGAAGCGACTCGGAGATCTCGATGCTCCGTCTCCTTGGGTTCAGGCGCTTCGCAAGAGCCACTTAGGGGTTTAGGGTTTAGGGTTTAGGGTTTAGGGTTTAGGGTTCAGGGGTTTCTTGAGAAATGAGCGACTGGCTAACTCCCGCGCCTCTCTACGTAGCCTTGGGCGGACGTTCGCAAATTCGCGGTGAAAGCGAGACCTAACCCCAAAAGCGACACCCCAAGATACAAGTCAGTTCTATCCTCATAACATCTCATAACTTGAGTTGATTACCTTGCTGATGCAATGCATTTGGCTTGAAATCGGCTGGTTAAGAGTGCCCCTGGTGCTCCATGACTTGGCGGCACGCTTGTTTTAATTGGGAAAGCGATACCTAACCCCAAAAGCGGTACCCTCAATGAATGTCCCAGCCGTGGCCTCTAGGTTTTGATGGATTGGGAAGTTAGAGGTTTTGAGCTTAAGGGTTCAGGGGCTTTCTGCAAGTCTGGAAGGAGTTCCCCAGAAAAACCTCAACGTGAAAGGTTTAGGGTTTCGCGTTTAGGGCCGTTCAGGGTCGCCTGTGCCTAGACCACGGTAGCTTTGCAAAGGGAGTCAGCCGTGGTACGCCCTAATCCCCAAAGCGCTAAAGTAGCTAAAGCCCAAGTCCTAAAAGGCAAAAATGAAGGAGTCTCACAGGCCACATGACGACAGTACTTTCGGCTCTTCTGGGGGGGGGGGGGGGGGGCACGAGACCAACGGTAATTGGTGTTTAGGTAAGTAGGCTCAACGTCTGGCGTTTAGCAAGTGACGCGTTTGACTTACGGCTTGTTATCCCGACTACTCGGGAAGCGATAACAACCAAACTCTAGGCAAATAGAGTACATAGACTTATAATGTACCGTGAACACTACACCCCTCAACTCAAAACCCTGAAAGAACAAAAGGGCTGAACTCGGGATCGCTCAGCCATGAACCAAAAACAGGCATTTCAGGGTTTATAGGGTTTGCAGGGTTTATGGGTTTACAGGGCTTCTAGGGTTTGTAGGGTTTCTAGGGTTTACAAGGTATTTTGGTGTTTGCAGGTGCCGGCGTGTAAGATGAGAAGAGCAGCCCTAAACCCGAAACCCTAAACCCTAAACCCTAAACCCTAAACCCTAAACCCTAAACCCTAAACCCTAGACCCAAACCGGCGCAGGTGCGCGCACGATTTGGGCCCGAGGGCGAGGGAGGCTCCCGAAGCAAGGTGGTGATGTGCTGCCAGGCTCCGGATGGGAGTTGCCAGGGCTTCACATTAGGGTTTAGGGTTTAGGGTTTAGGGTTTAGGGTTTAGGGCTTAGGGTGACTCCTAAACCAAAACCTCAAACCCTAAGCCCTGAGATCTTGGGATCGTGGCGGAGGAGTCCGCGGTTTGAAGTCCAGGGTTTCATCGGGTTATTAAACTTGAAGATGACTCGCGGACACTTTGATCCCCTGGTTCTTCGTAGGGAATGAGGGAATGAGGGCCATGTATATACCCTTTAAGGGTAGGGCCCTAATTCCCTCATTCCCTACTAAGAACCAGCCAGTTGGAGGGGGGGGATCCCACATTTCCGGGCTGAAGCTTCAGAAATCCTAAACTTGAACTCCCGCACAAAACCCTTAAGTCGCCTTTTTGCCGGTTGAGATCGTGAGTCTCTGTGCCCACTTCCCCAAACGAAAAAGCCCAAATTACAGCCGAAGCCCTGAACCGTAAATCCCTAAACCCTAAACCCTAAAAAATCGTCCATACTCCTCCGTGATGGCCAGGCGGAAGATTTCGCAACCGCGATTTACACGCGCCGCCCGGCGTCGCAGCAACCCTTGCCAGTGCTGTGGGCGTGGGTTTAGGGTTTAGGGTTTAGGGTTTCAGGGTTTAGGGTTTAGGGTTTAGGGTTTAGGGTTTAGGGTTTAGGGTTTAGGGTTTAGGGTTCAGGGTTTAGGGTTTAGGGTTTAGGGTTTAGGGTTTAGGGTTCAGGGTTCAGGGTTCAGGGCACGAGCACCATGCTGCGTTCTCCGAGCTTGCAGGCTATCAAGGCCACAATGGCATGTCGATGGTCACGGGGCTTTGGGTGGAGGGATCTGCAGATGACATGAGCAGCCGAGTTTTTCTCCGGCACATCCCATCGCAAGATCAGCTCGCGAATTTGCACGAAGGAGCCTCGGCGAAAGATGGGGAAAGCTATAGAAACCCATGCCTCCTAAATCCTAAGCACTAGACCCTAAACCTTCATTGCCCCGATGCAGCCTGGAGGCTTTAGACCTCGACCTATTGCAGCAGGCCTTACAAAGGGTGAAGGTCATCCTTGGCCCTTGCAAGTTCGGAATGTCAATGTTTCTCTCTCTCACAGCGGGAAGAGAAGATGCAGTAAGAACTTAGGGTTTAGGGTTTAGGGTTTAGGGTTTAGGGTTTAGGGTTTAGGGTTTAGGGTTTAGGGTTTAGCCGACCCTAAACCCTAAACCCTAAACCCGAGTCGCAACCCTGCTTCCAACTTGGATTCCTCCAGGATGAGAACACCCGCTGGTTCTTAGTAGGGAATGAGGGAATGAGGGCCCTATATATGTATACATAGGGATAGAGAGAGATATATCGAAATATATATATATATATATATATATGTGTACCCTTTAAGGGATTGAATAGGGCCTTAATTCGCTTATTCCCTACCAAGAACCAGCCAGTCATCCAGCTGAGGCATTCCCGTGGGCGCAGAGCGCGCACAGACCCGCTCGAAGGTTGAGAGCGCGGCCCTCGGCTGCGGGGCGGTCGGAGGGTTTAGGGTTTAGGGTTTAGGGTTTAGGGCGTAGGGTTTAAGTTTAGGGTTTAGGGCTCACTTCCGCAAAAGCCGAAGCTGCAGGAAACCGCACTGAGACTGATGGAAGCATGGCAAAAAAAGGGGTTTTGCGGGCACCATGGACAACGAAGGCCATGAGAGTCATGGAGTGTCTCCAGTCCAGGGATTTAGACGCGTACCCCTAAGGTTGTACCCCCCAAAGGTTCCGCTCAATGCACGCCTTGGTATGGCCCTTTTTGTTACTACCTTAAGGATCCTCAAAAGGGTCCCCAAAACCCAAGGGTACAACCTTAAGGGTCCGAGGTACCCCTAGACATGCCGGATTCCTGCGTGACCACCAGTTGATGTACCATCTGTGGTGTACCTTTGTCATTGCTGAACCCTCAACCCTAGACCCCAACCCTCCGTCCTGGGATTTGAACCCCTTCACCTCGGAACCTAAACCTTGAAGCCTAAACCCTGAACCCTGAACCCTAAACCCTAAACCCCTAAACCCTTAACCCTTAACCCTTAACCCTAAACCCTAAACCCTAAAGCCTACACCCTAAACCCTAAACCCTAAACCCTAAACCCTAAACCCTACCAAGGTCTCAACGCCGAGAGGGAGAAGGTGCTCGAAGCCGTGGGAGGCATCCGCGAAGCGCCCCTGGGTTGCTTTGAAAGGGTTTTGTGGTTTGGGGTTTTGGGGTTTAGGGTGTAGGGTTTAGGGTTCAGGGTTTGGGGTTTGGGGTTTAGGGTTTAGGGTTTAAGGTTTAGGGTTTAGGGGTTGCTTTGAAAGGCAGAGGCCTCCCTCCGCTCAAGGCCACAACCCTTTAGGGGTTTCCGGTTTAAGGTTTTTATGGCTTAGGGTTAACCCTTTTGGGGTTTCAGGGTTCAGGGTGTCGGGGAGTAGTCGGGCCTCAACCCAAGCACCTCGCAGCCGCCCCAAAACCCGAAGCCCTGCCCATCTAGGGTTGATAATGGTGGTTTGGGTTTAGGGTTGATGGTTTAGTGCGTTGAAGCTTGAGAATGGCTTATATTCATATAGGGGGTACGTCATAGGGGTGCCTGGGGGTTGGCTCAAGGTGGGGGGGCTATTGCTTGCTGGGCCGTAGGGCCCTAAAACCCCCAAACGCTCCGAACCCTAGGTTGGAGGTCGGGTTTATACGACTGTTATTCGTCTGTGTATATGGGGCTGCTTGCACATGTGGCAAGTGTGTCTGTATCAGCGCATAGGTAGTTCAATAAGCAAATAATTTGTACATGTGAATAAACATATTACTTGCGTATCTTCTTTTGTTTTTTGCTTCTGAGCCTCTTACACCCTCCCCTCTACGCCCTCAGCCACCCCGAAGTAAACCCTAAACCCTAAACCCTAAACCCTAAACCCTAAACCCTAACCCCTAATCCCTAAACCCTAAACCCTAAACCCTAAACCCTAAACCCTAGACCCTAAACCCTAAACCCTAAACACAAACCCCAAACCCTAAACCCCAGACACCCTCGAGAGATCTCAGGCTCTCCATTGACGACCCCGAGTTTGCGCTCATCCAGCAGAAGTACGAGGCGCCTGAGCCATGGGTTCCCCTCCTACTTGCCCCCCCCATCTACACTTCAGGGTTTAGGGTTTAGGGTTTAGGGTTTAGGGTTTAGGGTTTAGGGTTCACTACCCCTACTCCGAGGTTCCCCCCCTGAAATAACCTGAATTGGGCTTTATTCTCCCTAAAATAGCCGTAAATACGGGGCGAACCTGGGGGGGGGGGGGGCGTAGTATAGAGGGGAACACATGACTGAGCTGCCCCCCAAAAAATCCCTTCTACTCGACGGCTCGGAAACTCCGGTTTGGGGTTTAGGGTTTAGGGTTCAGGGTTCAGGATTCAGGGTTTGGAGTGTGGGTTTCTAGTTCATTTTAGTGTCTGCGGTTCAGAGTTGTCGTTTGAAAGGGCTTTGGGTAGGGGTTTAGGGACTTTGCTGGAGTCCATCCCGTAAGCCAACCGATGTTGAGAGGAGCTCCAGCGAGTGGGGAAGCACTCCCAACTTGCAGGCATCATTTCTGAAGCCACCCCTTGCTGCAGGCTTCATTTGCTGAACCCGAAAGCCCCTAAGCCGCGATAAAGGCCCCAAAAACCCCTCAATAAAGACCTTCGAAACCCCTTCAAAGCCCCTTCTCAAACCCCTTGAAAGCTCCCTAAACCCTAAACCCGAAAATTATGGCTAGCCCTCAACCCTAAACCCCTAAACCCCTAAACCCCTAAACCCCTAAACCCCTAAACCCCTAAACCCCTAAACCCCTAAACCCCTAAACCCCTAAACCCCTAAACCCCTAAACCCCTACACCCCTAAACCCCTAAACCCC